CCTCATGCTGTTCGAACAGTAACGAGGTAATAAGTAAAGTTGGTAGTCAGTCACACAATTCGGAACCCGTGGCTGACGCCAACAGCCGGTTGATCTGATACCCTGCTCTGACGATTTGCCTTATGACGTGTATTGACGTGCATTTCTCTCGGCAGGTGCTTTCTACGACTTGACGGGCGACTACACCTTGAGCCTGTTTGTGGTAGTGGCCAGTTTCGTCACGTCGGTGCTGTGCGCGCTGTCCATCCCCCTCAAGAGGGCGCTTGTGTCCCGGCTGCCATGCTGCCGGAGACCAGCGGATGATGTCAATAACAACAACCAAGACGATGACACGACGGTTCCGCCTGTGGAGGATATCAAACATCGCAGTGTGGGGACCTACAACCCTGCGTATGAAATGGAAATCTAGTTCGAATTAATAACTTTGGAATTGTAACATTATTATTTATGGTAAGTAACCCCACTCGATACCTTTGGTAGACGGACATTCTCATGTTGTACGAACCTTAACAGCTGTCGTCTCTACAACTACAAAACCTTTTTGAGTGACTTTTTTGTTTGACCAAACAACTATCCCACAAGGTTGTGGGTTGGTGTACGAGAGGCGTACGCCGATTCGTGTCTTTACCGAAATGTGTAACAACCATTTCAAAACAATCGTCTTAAAAAGGGGCTTCCTGTAACCGAAACCCCCACTCCCCGGCTGTTTAACAGTTCCCCGACCCTCCCACACCATTATACAACTTGAAAATAACTCTCTCAGTGCGCTCCTGCCGTTTCATTAATATGTTTGTTGTTGTTGTATGGAGATTTTTAATGTTTTAGGGTGTGGGTGTCAAGGTATAGGTGTTTGTTTATATAGGTCTATATATAGTTTGTACTGTTCGTTGAGTTTTAAGTTGCATGTATTCGTTAAAGTCTGAAATGTAAATCTTGTATTCCATTAGGCTACAAGGAGCAGATTTTTACTCAACCATATTACCTGGCGTGTTCCGGGCCTACCCACCTGTTGGTTTGGGTTTGTTAACTATCACTCAGTATGGCTATCTAAATTGACTTCCCGGATGTACCTAGAGTTTGCTGAAACGACTCACTTCGCTGGAGAAAGCTAGACGCTCATTGTTTCGTCTCATTGAAATGAATGTGGTGCGAGGCTGGTGTCATCACTTCTCTGACCTGAACAGTTTGGTCATTATGTTAGTGACGACTCCGGAAAAAGGTACCTCAGACACAGGAGAAATGACTGGAAACCAGTTTGTCAATTCGAGCTTGTGTGTTTGCAATTCCAGATTATGGACATTATTTGCAATGAAATTGAAGTTAGAAGAATAATCGGTACAATGCGCCCTTTAATTTGAAGTGATAAATTGTCCTATAACTTACTACATGTATTTACTCATCTACTGGATTTAAGAGAGGACTACTTCATTATGGAAAATTGTTAAGGTCATTACTTTAATCAAAGTCAATAAATCTAAGGAAAGAGTGAACATGGAAAAACAAAATCTCTAAATAATGGCGTGATTTTTTTATTATAATGTTAGTTCATGAAAAGAGAAGCAATTCCTTGAGGTTTTTTAGCGGCCCATTTGGGGGCATGTGCAGGACAGAACTATTTGTGAGGCCACTCGCCCAAAGTCCATGGATTGCGAATAGGCTCGTGAGCAGGGGCGTATCCAGCTTTTGGTGTGGGGAGGGGGCAAATTCAAAAGCGAATGCTGCCACGGGCTCATTCTTCGTGATGTTGCAGGAGAAAAAAAATTAAGAAAACCTTTGTCACAGTCCTTGCTTTTTTTTGCTGGTGTTGTTTTACTTAGGGTTTTTGTGCTAGTACCGATTACTGTCTGTCCTACTCACTTATGAAGAGTTTTGGTAAAAAACAATAAAAAACTAAACTGCTCCAGAGGGCAAGTCCCTCCCCCCGCCCGCCAGATACGCCACTTTTGTATTTTGTTCTGAAAAGAAGACAGGGTGTTGAGGATTCTATCTCCGAATTCACATGAACAGAACAAATTGAATTCTCCATACTAAAGACACTGTTTCTATACCTCTGATCTGGGCAAGCTTTTCCTTAGTTACATAAGAGATGCCTTGCAACAATACACCGTTCTCAATGGAAAAGAAAGGGCACAAAGGAACCACTCCATTCCAGGGATGGTGGTCGCTTAGCAAAAGCTTGCCCTGAATCACGAGGTATAGCAACAGTGTCTTTTGTCCAGGGAATTCGAATTGTTATGTCTGTGTGAAATGAGATAGCAGAGTGTACCAGATGTTATTCAAATTTAACTCGCAAAGGCTTATTTTTGCCAGGCCAAACGCACCGTATTCGCGTATCGTATCGTGCAATTACATCGCGACCGCAATACATAGGCCCCAAAAGAGCCCAGCCTGCCGTATGCAGTTGCCTTCGGTTGGACCACAACCAATATGTCACGCTACTGGAGACTTCTGATCGTTGTTGCCGTTTTCCTTCAGTTCCTGGTNATCCGTTGGTCCCGTGTACAACTACAGCGTCTTTTTGATACCACTGCAGACTGAGTTTAAGACCAGTGCTGTTTCCACAGGTAGGCCGATTGGAAGTTCACAGATGTTGGGGAGAGACGAGAGACAAGGGATTTTATGCATGCTATGGGACCTGTATACTTCATACGAAGTTATATTCAAGAAAGAAACCGTATAATAGAAGATCACTTTTTGTTCAAGGAAAAAAAGTCAATTTCATCGGACGGAAATTTATTTTTCCTGAAGATAGAGATTTTGAGGTGACAAAGATGTCAATCCGAATGACTTGTGGGTACACCGTGCAGGTATAGATTCATAGGTCTGCTACGTTTTTTTTAGTAACTTGTTATTACTAGCGGTTTCGATCAATCCTCACTGTTTGAGTACGAGGAGGTTAATATATGCTGGACATGCAGTAAAAGAATTTCGAATACGATGAGTCCTCACTGTGAGAGTGCTGGACTGTTGTGCCCGGCGCGCGATGAAAACAATTTCGAGCGCTATGCCCGATCAGCGCCAGTTGAGGAAGAGGCAACCGCGGTACGCTCAGACTGGCAATCCACGTGCACGGTCGTAGAACGGTGCGACATTCCGTCATAAATGTTGTAAAAATCTGCACGAAATATGTTTGGACATGGAGACTATTTTTTCTCTCTTAAATCCTGCAGCTAACACTTGTCATTGACGGTAATGCGCATGGATTACAGACGTCACCGTTAAATGTCCAAGTTCTCCGGAAAATGTCAACAACTCTCCGTATATGATTCATCAATAATAAGAAAATCTGCATTCAAGATATTCAGATGAGGAACCACTTCAACTATCGAAACCTTACATTTTGGCCCATATAATTGTGTCAGCGGCGCAAGTAACACTAAAGTGGACTTGAGTGCGGGCCACGCAGGCATATCTTACAGAAAATTAGTGATTTTCGTTTTCACGGATTTACATCCGCATATTTATTTAATTGTTCTGTAATTCCCGTCAACCCATGGGCGTAAATCCTGGAGATAGGGGTATATGTTCCCTCACAATTTTCAAGTTGAGGAAGGGGATGGGCTTTTGAATCCCCCCTCGTATATTTTTGGTATGACCAACAAAATGAAAGCAGATTGTGAAGAATTTTCAGGGTTGTCCAACCACTGAAATGTTAACAATATCACTAAAAAGGGAAATTAATTTTAAAAGCAATAAGTATAGCATTTTGATGTAAGATTCTGCATGAATTTGACACACATTACAGATGCACATCTTTATCATGAACATCGCCCTCTATATAGTGTATATGGTATCGCCCCACCCGCCCCCCTTTAAATTTTCATGGCCGGGCAAGTCATCCCCCAACCCAAACCCAATTTCCAACACAAATTTACGCCACTGCGTCAACAGTTTTATAAAACGCTTTATGAGAATTACATTTCTGTTCTAGTGTTGCTGCGTTCACTACACTTGGGTATTACTCCGCGAAACTTTACAAAACTTGTCTCGTAGCAGGTTTCAGGAAATAACAATGGAACGGACGTGGGTGTCATTTCCCCACGGTGGTGTGGCCGNGTCCGTTGGTCCCGTGTACAACTACAGCGTCTTTTTGATACCACTGCAGACTGAGTTTAAGACCAGTGCTGTTTCCACAGGTAGGCCGATTGGAAGTTCACAGATATTTGGGAGAGACGAGAGAGGGGAATTTATGCATGCTATGGGACCTATATACTTCATACGAGGTTGTATTCGAGAAAGGAACCGTGTAATAAACGATCACTTTTTGTTCAAGAAAACAAAGTCAATTTCCACAGACGGAAATTTATTTTTCCTGACGACAGAGGTTGTGAGTTGACAAAGGTGTCAATCTGAATGAGTTGTGGGCACATCATGTACATATAGATTCATAGTTTTTAGCTATAGCTACATTTTTAGAAACTTGTTATTACGAACGGTTTCGATCAATCACCGATGTTTGAGTGCTGGGCATGCAGTAAAAGAATTTCCAACTACGATCAGTCCTCACTGTGTGAGATGAAAACAATTTTGAGCGCTATGCCCGATCGGCGGCAGTTGAGGAAGGGACAGCCGCGGTATGCTCAGACCGGCCATCCACGGTCGTAGACCGGTGTGACATTCCGTCATAAAAGTGTACCGTGTGAAAATCTGCGGCAAATATGTTTGGACATGGAGACTATTTTTTTTCTCTTAAACCCTGCAGCTAACACTTGTCATTGACGGTAATGCGCGTGGATTACAGACGTCTCCGTTAAATGGCCAAGTTCTCGGGAAAAATGTCAAAAAATCCCCGTATGTGATTCATCAATAATAAGAAAATCTGCATTCAAGATATTCAGCTGACGAACCACTTCAACTATCGAAACCTTACATTTTGGCCCTTATAATTGTGTCAGCGGAGCAAGTAACACTCAAGTGGACTTGAGTGCGGGCCACGCAGGCATATCTTACAGAAATTTAGTGATTTTCGTTTTCACGGATTTACATCCGCATATTTATTTAATTGTTCTGTAATTCTCGTCAACCCATGGGCGTAAATCCTGGGATAGGGGTATATATTCCCCAACAATTTTCAAGTTGCGGAGGGGGATGGGCTTTTGAATCACCCCTCGCTTATTTTTGTGATGACCACCAAAATGAAAGCGGATTGTGAAGAATTTTCAGAGTTGTCCAACCACTGAAATGTTTGCAATATCACTAAAAAGGGAATAAGTATAGCATTTTGATGTAAGATTCTGCACGAATTCGATACACATTACAAATGTACATCTTTATCATGAACATCGCCCTCTATATACGCCCACCCCACCCCCTTTAAATTTCCATAGCCGAGCAAGTCTTTGGTGCATCTTGGGTGTTACTCCGCGAAACTTTACAAAACTTGACATGTAACAGGTTTCAGGAAATAACACCGGAACGGACGTGGGTGTCATTTCGCCACGGTGGCATGACCAGTAAGTAGACCCGTGTGATATAAATCGTTACGGTATAAGATTTGACAGTAGCTGACCTGATTACGATTCCAAAACGGTAATTACATCGAACTGAGTCACCGTTTGGTTATGTATTCGACCAGTAATACGCAAGTGCCAAAAAAAAATAATAATGTAGTTCTTTCACTAAGGCTACTTGTGTTTTGACAGCATACAATTTCATCCAGCAGAGTTGTAGATTCCAAGTAACACAGTAACACATCCAACCGTACTATTTTGCTGTCAGGATGGGTGGGCTCGTTGGCCTCCGCTATGCTGTGTGGTCTCTCCCCGTTGACGGCCGCCCTTGGCTGGAAGATCGGCAACGGACGCGTGGTTTGCTTTGGCGTTATTCTGACGGCGGCCGGATACCTAGCCACTTCCTTCATTTCTTCGCTGGCCCCAGCCTACCTGACGTACGGCATGATCACGGGGCTGGGCAAGTGTTTCATGTTCTGTGGGTCTACCAGTGTGCTGGTGGAGTGGTACCAGGGCCGAGGGGACACCTGCCGGGTAACAGGGGGCACAGTGATTGGATCCTCCGTTGGTGGGTATAATTATAAGTCCAGCCTTTGGCGTAACTGAGGGGGAATAGGGCACGCCCCTACTGTGCCTTCCGTATTCCCCCCGTCAGAAATTATAGAAGGAAAGAAAGCTATGGAAGTCCACCTTGGTCTGTTTCATTGTTTTAATTGTGACCAGGGGACACATTGATCGCCCCCTCTAGAAGATGAGGACCCCACGTCCCCCCCCCCGCCCCGCAAAAATGTCCCCCAGTTAACCGAAGAGTCAATTAGGCATCCACAAACCAACATCATCATTACTGTCTGCAAAAGTGCAATAGACCGATTGCGCCCGCTGACTCACGTGACCTATAGTAGATATCAAACATCAGCAAAGCGTTCTCCCACAGCAATGTATGTCATAAGTGTCATTTACCAAAAGTGAAACCGACGGTAAAGTAACCAGACTACTGATGTGCTATACCGAAATCGGCTTTATTTTCGCCAAACGACACTTAGGACACACTTTGCTTTGGAAGGATGCCGTGTTTGTTGATGTTCGGTACCCACTGTAGGTCATGTAACTTAACTGGAGCAATCGGTCTATTAGGAAGTCAATATCACAAACACCAAAAATTGAAATGGCATGGTCGGTTCTTCTTTGTTCAACTTGCATAGAAATATAGCAAAATAAAATAAAACCAAAAACATTCCTACTACATCCCGGCCGATGTGTTGTTTGAGTATACAATGTATTTTTTAATCTACATTATATATGGCAATATTGCAGTTGTGCAAGTCTTATGTGTCTAAATTAAAGTTTTTCAATTTACACCACAAAGATTGCAGCGTGGTATCATTTTGCAGTTTCCTTGACCGTATGTTTTCTCTGAAAGGTGTGATGGTTTTTGGGCCTGTCCTCAATTCTCTCACCGCGTCTTACGGATGGAGGAATACCTTCCGCATCCTCAGCGGTATCACGCTGGCTGTCGGACTGCTGACGGCCCTGCCATTCCTCAAGCCCGCAGAGAAAGAACCGACGAGCGATCAAGGCGACAGCTCCGGAAAAAAGGTTCCGGAGGAGTCCAGCAAATGCGACCAGGGCCGAGGCGCTAGCGGTGTGTTGTCAAGCGGCTCGGACTCGGCAAGCTGTGTCCCCCGTCGCGGTGGGAGTCTGAAGTCGTTTTGCGAGAAAGTGTTGAATATCGAGGTGTGGCTGTGGGTGTCATCCATCACCACCGCTCAGCTCGGCTGGACCTTTGCCATTATCAACTTCGTAAGTACCATCTAATAAACAAGTTGTGGATAGGCCATTCTTGCTGTGAAGAAGTCTAATGGAAACGATGCTACATAACTGTACGAGCGTTAAAAAAAATTAATGTTAACAAGATTTTAAAAAGTCAAGAGCAGATCCACTAAGCAAAGATCAATTCGTAAAATTCCTTTTCGGACAATGTTCCCCTGTGATGATTGAAAGAATTTAAGTGTTGTGTGCCAGAATCGTGCTTGACAGTGAATGTTCCTTCGTGACCACCATAGTTTATGACCTTTGACATGCTGAGAGACAATTAAAGCTGCCATTCCGGTGACGTTACATGTATAATCTTTGAAAAATTAGACAATCCGGTCAATATCGTAATTTGTCGTTATGTCGAGCTAACCGCTGGAAGATATCGAAGTTAATTAACAAGATACTGACATTTTATGGACCTGTGATATTCTTCTTTTCCTCATCAAAAAGTCGAGTTTTATGGACGGGATCGGGCTGGCTACCCAGGAGGTATCGATAGCTCTGACGGTTTTTGGAGCGGCGGAGGTCGGGGGCAAACTAGCTTTTGCCGTGTTTGGGGACCGTCTGCCGTGCCTGAAGCTGTACGTAGCAGTGGCTAGCTCCGGCGGAGGAGCTCTTGTGTCGGGTTTCCTGACACTCTGTTCGGCGTTCTGGAGCATAGTCGTCTTATCAGTCGGTAAGACACTGGTCCACATAATGCTAACGTGCTTACTATAATAGACCGATTGCACCTGCTCAGTTACGCGACCTGAAATAGGTATCAAATATCAACAAACATGGTTTTCTCCCGTACTAAAGTGGGAGTTTACGAAAAAAGCCAATATGGGCGATTCACAAGAGTGCGCCTCCAAGAGTTTGCAACCTGTCAACTAGTCATAATGCACGAAATCTGTCGACCCATTTGGTGTTTGGAAAGGTCGACAAATTTCGCGCATTGTGACTGGTGACTCTTGGAGGTGCACTATTGAAAATCCCCTGTATTATCAATACGGTACTCAGCGCGTCAGTAGTCTCGAGCAGCACTACACTGTATGTCGGCTTTTTTTCTGGTAATCAATTAACACTTATAACACACTTTGCTATGGGAGGACGATATGTTTGCTGGTATTAGATACCCACTACTGGTCACGTGACTTAACAGGTGCAATAGATCATTTCCGTCATGGCGTCGTTAAGAAATAACGTTTCAGTCAAATTTCGTCTTTGACATGAGAGTAATTATTATACCTGATCTTAATCAAACGGATTGATCAATCAGCCGTAACGGCTTTGAGACAGATAAGATCAGAAGTACCTTTCCCAGGAACAGAAGGGATTTACTTTCGAGCATTGTTAAAAATACTTTAGCGCAAATTTTCTGTTATTGTTGTGGTTTTCAAGTAAGGTGTTGCTAAGCCTAACTGATGTGCCCGCTCAACGGTCAAATTAATAGGGAGGCTGGCTTCTCATAATGGGTGTTTTCCTTGAGCAATGTTGTTTTTATCCTTCACGCTTTCTCCTCAGCACATAAAAATCTCAATTTTTTCTTCTAGTTTGGGGCTTCTGTCGCGGAGTCCTCTATGGCCTTACCTACGTAGCAGCGGCTGAGTTGTTTACAAATTACAGTCCTCGCACCATTGTCGCCATTTCTGTGCTCGGGTACGGAACAGGCGTATTGATTGGCTCGCCATTAACAGGTTATTGGCTTTCTTTTGTTGACAGTATGTTACAATACTTTTTCAATATACATAGTCGTTGTTGACTGTTTCATAGTTGTTTTTATTTACGGGCGGCACAGAAACCGCCATCCTATTGAGGTAAAACATGGGAACATGGGACACACTGATAAACAAGATCTAGCCCTAAAATAAGAAGAAAGCACACATGAAAATGCGTTTACATTGTTCATTTTTGTCCTACCCAAAACTCAAGAACATTATGGATATAGACGTGGAATCTATTAATCGTGCTGTTGAGTCTATTTTTTTCTTTAGAAATTTCCTCACAAAATATT